AGATAATCAGCTTCATCCAGGGACCATCGGAGTTGTGAGGCCACCACTTTCTCAACAACCTTCCCCACAAAGGGTTGGTTGGAGCCTTGACGATAGTTGCTCAAAATGGCTGGGTCCAAAGACGATTTCTTCAGGAGGGGTCTCACCACCGCATCCTTTAGGAGGGGTGGGAAGATTCCCTCCCGGAGAGAGGTGTTCACAATCGTCTGGATCCAGCCGCGTGTCACCTCCCTGCTGGTCGAGACCAGCCAGATTAAACAATCAACCTTAGAACTGAGATAAGGAAGGTATCTTCTGCCTTTTAGGCTCAGCCAAATTAATAAACAAAAAATAAGAAATAGGTTGTAGACTAGAGCAAGCTATGAAGATACTGGACAAAATATTCAGATGCTGTGATGTGTCAATACTTACAGAATAGTGCAGCAATGCTATTCCCTGTGACTTCAGGGAGGATGAAAGGAAACGAAGTAGTAGAACACCAAAATGGATCATTGAATAAATCAACCCAGAGTTTTCATATGAAGCACACATGATCACAATCAAATAATCCTAGTTTGGACAAATTATGCAAAAACCTAGTTCTGGAGAAGATTCTAATGCTGGAAAAGATGGAAGGACGGAGAAAACAACCACCACTCAGCAAAGTCCACTTAGTTGCAGTGATAGTGAATGTATTGCGGGAAAATCTGAAGAACCAGGTTAGGAACAAATCAATAGGGGGAAAATTTATGCGCCACCAAGAACTGAAAGTAACTGGATGGCACATATTTAATTAATTACACGGGAAATGCTAGCCTGCAGGAAAAGGTTAGGCAGCAACATATTTATAGTAACAATTATATATGCTTTTTCCACTATGAATACTTACAATGCAACTCCTCAGATGATGACCATCTGGCCCTATTAAATGATTCATGGAGAACACTTCATCCTTCATCTAGATCAGGGGTGTCAAACTTGGGGCTTGTGGGCTGGATGCCCCATGCACTGGCCACCCCCACCCCCATTTTAGCGAAGGGGGAAAAAGTTGTGATGTCATGTGATGATGTGAATTTGACACTCCTGACCTAGATTCTCCAAGAAAAGAATTGCCTCAGAATTTTTAAACTTGGCTCCCCATTCTCCAAATTAACTTATCATTGATAAGTCAGAACACAATTGTCATATCCTTATTAGCTAGTAGAGAAGATGGGAGGATTCTATACTTAAAAAAACCTAGAAACTCAGCATCTTCCAATTTTTGAGGACTAAATTTGATAATTCCAAGATATCCCATAAAGGCACATTTCTGTTTGCCATTTTTAATTCAAGGAAAACAATATACTTTTGGCGTAAGAGCTGGAGTTTTCTTTTACGGGAATGGGGATTTACCACTTCAGAAGGCCACCTATTACACTGCTTGACCATGGAACAAAGTTATGTCCAACCTTGAGAGATATTTCTGGGGTTATGAATGTATAAGAAACTTATTTCTGGGATCTGGTGACTGATTTTTACCAGAGGTAAATTATTTCCTCCCAAATACTATTCTAAGCTCCATCTATCCAATTCTGTTGCTAATAATACTTTAAATTCAGTTTGATAATTTATCTCCAGGTATCACTGATGCTGCTGAAGCCACTCAGATGCAGATGAAAAAATCCAATCACCCCCCTAAATGAGGCCAAAAATATTATTGCCTAAAAATCAAAAATCTCATAATTTATTATTTTCTTCTAAAGAAGTTCATTATTGCTGTAATTCCTACACTTGGTTCAAGTCTCATGTGTTATATATATTTTATTAATAAATGGAAATATTAAAATGTTTGGCATTCTTGCTTGCTGTGTTTCCCCGAAAATATGACATGTCTTCATAATAATGTGGCCATGCCACATTTTTCTAGTGTGCAAAAAATATAAGCCCCTCCTGCATATAAGCCCCCTGGACAACCCCCCCACCTGCGGCCAAGTAGAGTGCCGCTCACCAACCTAGCAGTATCCCGAAGGTGCCAAGCCGTGGGAATCTGGGGGAGGCAAAGGTGATCGCGTTGCTTGGTGTTTTTGGGACACTGCTAGGTTGGTGAGCAGTGCTGTGCCCAGCTGAAGATGGGGATTGCTGGGCGGCTGCTCTCTTGCAAGCAGGCTCCTAAAGAGCTGGGCGCAGCCTCATGGGAGAATGGCTGTGTTGCGCTGTTGCAGCAGCACAACACAACAGCCATGAAGCAACCACTCACGAGCAGCCACCCGGCAAACCCCCTTTGCAGCCAGACACAGCAACATTCACTGACCATGGGGTATTGCCAAGCCGCCCGGCTCCCATGGCTTGGTGCCTTCCAAATGCCAGTGAATGGCACTCTAAACAGCTGGAGAGGGGGGTTGCGCGAGTGGCTGTTCCACTCTTGCTCACCCACCTCCCAATGCATGGCTCAGCTCTCATTACGGGAGCCAGGGCACCTCCGCCGGCATTCCAGCCTGGCTTTTTCCGTGGCTTTCAACCCGTGTCTTTTGGCAGTGGCCGCTCTGGGCGCACGCTCTAAGGTTGTACGCTCTGCAGGCAGCTGGCCCACAACCATAGAGCGTGCGCCCAGAGCGGCCACTGCCGAAAGACTCGAGTTGGAAGCCGTGGAAAAAGCCAGGCTGGGATGGCAGCGGTGGCGGCGGTGGCGCCCTGGCTCCGTAATGAGAGCTGGGCCATGCATTGTGAGGCTGTGAGGCAGGTGAACAAGAGCAGAACAGCCGCTCGCGCAACCCCGGTTCTCCAGCTGTGAAGAGCGCCATTCATTGGCATTTGGAAGGCTCCAAGCCACTGTGCCCGGCTCTTGGGGAGCCCGCATGCAAGAGAGCAGCCGCCCGGCAACCCCAAAACAATAAACCCTCCCCACATAATAAAGCCCAAGCCATATTTTGTAGGTAAAAAGAAAATAAGACCCTGTCATATTTTCGGGGAAACAGGGTACCTCCAGAAGGTATCAGCAAGCTTGAAACATTTCAATCAAGTAGAATTTGTGTGTTATAGATAAGGGGCTTATAATTTAAAATTAGTACTTGTTATTTAAATAGAAATGAGGTAGAATAAGCTATAAAGTAATTTTTATACTGGATTCAGAGAAGACCCCCCACCTATATTTTAAGGATAAAAATTGTATCATTTATTTTTGCCAATAAGATAACATACAATATATGTAAACAGTGACAAATATTCATTCTACTGATCTGTCATTCATGTTATTTTCCGCAAAAACTTACAATATTAAGGTTTTTCTTCACCAGATATACAGGGACAAATCGGAAAGAAGTTTGCATTTTTACTATTTTTCAGCTCTGATCGCTTTCAATCACTTGCTTGTTTGGAAATTGATGAACACAAGCATTGGAAATAAACAATGATTTGTATTGATGATATCACTTGAGCCATGACATACTCAAAACTGGTCTCTCTCTGAGCTTTGTAAAGGGGGACACTTATTTTCTTCAGCTCATATTCTTTGATGAGAGTTGATTGAGAAGCAGGCAATTTTCTGCTCAGACTAGTGCTTTGCAAAGAAAAGCACATGGAATGAAAACAACAAAACATTGTCTTTTCTGGCAGCAAAAGCCTTAAGTCATCAAGCACTGGATCCAACAACACATTCTTTACCCCCAACGATAATGAGCAAAGGCTCGGTTAGCTTCTGCCATTTTGTGCAACTCATGTTTTTTTTTAATCACGTTGCCGTTATTGTTGGAGGCTTCCAGCAGCTCATTTGAGAGCTTTTCAGGCATTAATGTTCGCCTATGCTTGTTTTCTCTGCATTCTGTAATCATCCACTTCATGGCTAAGAATCTCCGCCGACTGATCTTTAAAGGAGTTGGTACCTGAAAAAAGCAAAAGGTGGGGTTCAATATACTTTACTATCATAGCATGCTAATGAAATTTACAACAAACCTACATCTTTGTCTTCAAAAAAATGTTGAAATCAAGAGTTTTGTTACAAAAACTATTCAATGTTGTGTGAATATTTTGCATGTGTAATGGCTTGCTTTTGGTGTATGCCACCCAGAGTCACATTCTTTTGATGTACGCCACCTAGATACAAAACATGCAGAGCAATAGGGTGGCCCTATAAATCAGTGCAACAATTCTGGGATCTCCACTTAGAACTAAAGTGGATGAAGGCTGTTTTCCGCAATGTTATGAACTCTTCAAAATGCAAGAGGAAATTCTCAGAAATGTTTTCCCTTATATATAAATATGCAGAAATGTATGCAAGAATCCAGGTCCACTGAAGATGACGCCATGCAATTTTAAAGCAACTCAAAAGAAAAAAAAATGCAAACAAACTTTTGTCTCAATAAAATTCAATAAACGCACGTAGCAGGCTTTTTCTGACAGCAGCAAACCTGCCAATCCATAGATGGAAACAGAAGTATCTTGAATCCCAATGGAAACATGACTTTTTATACTATTGATCTATTATAATTTCATATTTAAGTTACAAACCATGCAAACCCAACTGGGTTGAGTTGGAGGAAATTAGATGTGCCTGATACCAGGGTGTTAGTTCTTTAAAGGACTCATTACCTATTTTATAAGCCATCATATTGCTTGGTTTTGGCTTGGCTGGATAGGTGATTGTGATTTATAATCTAGTATTTATAACTATGTATTACGTGCAAAGTTGGTCATTGTGGCACAGTCACTAAACAACGGTTTTAAAAATTCAATGCATTCCGTTAACTCGGCATTCTCTATTTATAACTTACCTGATACTTTTTACCTCCTCTTATGATACCTGCAAGCCCAATTACAGGTTGACAGTTTTCAATTGCTTGATGGAAGATTTTGTAAGGGTTGCACTCAATTTTTTCTTTCATTTCCTCATCTGCTTCATGATATTTCGCAAGTTGCTTCCTCTTAATGGCCTCTAAAGTCTTAATCCCCCCCAAAAAAGTAAAGGAAGGATTGCTCACTCAGCAATATGATTTATTCAACATGGAACTAATTTCAATATGCAGATGGACACTAATCACTGTTACATCACTACATTTTGTTTTACATAGGGTATGCAACTTACAAATCCATGACATTTGAGAAAGATTCAAAGAGCAAAACCCCAACCTCTCCTTGGCTACTAGATGTAATAAAGAATTTCTCAATTCTCAAAGCTAGTGATTTCTAAAATAATACTGTCTATCAGCAGGGTCTTAGAAAGCATAATTATAAATTAGAATGAATATAGTGACACAGATGCATACATGTATATGTTTGCTTTAGCTAATTATATACACTGTACTATTGTACAGTACATTCTATGTTTTTCTGTATTTTTTTAATTTACTTTTTAAGCATGTTATGGCTTTTTTGATAATGTACTGTATCTTTTTTTGTGACTTTTGTCTTTTTGTTTTCCTGTTATCTTTTAAAAGCAATAAAAGTTACAAGAAAAGAAAATTAAAAAGGCTTTAGAAAAATTCCAAACCTGCTTCTACAATAATTCTGAAAGGCAGGTTTAAAAATACGGTGCATAAAGACAGACCTACATATAATTTATTATTCTTTTGACATTTGATAAGCAAACTGAGGAAATAACTGAATATGCAATAGATTGTTAAAATAAGGGTAAGCACTTTTTAATATAGCCATAAAATAGGGATATTATGCCCTTCCCATATGGGCAATAATCAAGGAAAGGTATGTGAAACATGAATTGTACCTGATTCATGATGGTACGGGCCAAAAGTTTATCACCTCCTTTCATCATCATGTTAATAAATCTGCTGTAATGACAAAACAGAAATGTTTTGAAACCATCCGTTTAATGAAGTTTGAAGTTATGATGAAAAAAGTGACTTGTCCTCAGACTGATAACTGTTGCACCACCCCTCCCCCCCAATCACATAAACAAAATTCAGGCACTTAGCAACCACTATGTATTTATTATAGTTACAGTGCTCCAGAGCACTGTTTGATCACTATTTCCAATGTTCCCACCTGGCTTCAACGTGGAAATCTGGTTTCACTTAATGAACAATGTGGTGCATTTAAAAACTGCAATGGTTTGCTTAATCACCATGGCCAAAAGGTCATAAATCAGGTGCAGTTCACTTAACAACCTCCTTCCTCTGCAATGGAAATTCTGGTCATGTTAAGGACTACCTGTAGTACTCAGTCATCTAAGTAATATTCTATAACATAAAACTTTCATAATTAAGTAACTAAAATTCTCCAACTTATAGATATTATTTGAAAACTTAAACAAAAAATTGTATGGATCAATAATGGCTGTGCAAACTCAATATAATATTCAAAAGTAGGAAATAACAGTTGGATTGATTTGCAACTCAATGAATTGTAATCTGATTTGGAACCTGAGCTGCTGCTGTCAGATGTGAAAAAGAAAGCACTTGGTTTGGAAAATGCACATCTGCCACAAAAGATTAAAAGGAATATGAATATTAAAAATACTAAAATAATGGAATTGATGAAGGATGGACTGGACTTTCTTGGCAAGAGAAGTGTTGTGTTTTTAAGGAGAATTTTTCAACAGTGAATGTTGCAGACACATTTACAACAGACTAATGAACTTTGGAAATGAGATGCAATTGTTGGGAAAGTTCCCAATTAAAAACCTGAGGAAAAGTTTCAATATAAAGAACCAAATGGGCATATCTGATCCTGGACAATCAGAGATAATGACTGGGGTAATTTGTGGTAAATAAAAAACTGTTGTAAGCTTTCTACAAGTAATTTACAGGAAACAGACTATTAACAGAAGCCCCTGAATTCTAACTTTCTATTGTTTAACTTGTTAACTATTTTTTCTTTCAAATACATAAAGTACGACAGGTCAATTGGTTGCAAATAGATGCAAGAAGCTTATAACTTTTGGACTTGCTGCAAACAATCTGTCAGTATTTAATTAGGGACGTTTTTGTTTTTTGATGTTTTATTTCACTTTGTTAATGTTCTTGTTGTTTTGTCTGTATATTTTCTTTTGAATTATGTAATATATTTTGAATAAATTATTAAACTATAAATTATGTTTTATTCTTTAATCATTTTCCTGCACCATTTTTTAATTTCAGTTTGTACTAGTTTTACCATTATAAATGTAATCTTTAATAAAATTAGTATTAAAATGATTTTAAAAAACCAAACCTTATCCCGGGATCATAAAACACAGAACTGGTGATGCTGGATTCGGTGGCTTTTACCGGCTGGATTGTTTTCAACTGCCGTTCATTTTTTTCCTCCTCTGACATTTTCTCTGGAGATTTACGATAACTTTCTTTATTCACTTCTGGATCAATATATGTAGGATTGTATCGGGTCCATCTGACTTGAGTCAGCCTACAAAGGATTTGATGAGCAAAAAACGATTGTCAACACCAATATTTTCAACTTCCAGCACATGAAAATCTAGAAGGCTGCATATAGCCTTCCTTTCTCACGTGCAAGTCTCCCTGGTCCAGTCTCTCGGGTGCAACGCCCAAAGCTAGCCCGAACAAAGCGAGCAGAAATAAACCCAGTTGGTCCCGATGACTTTAGACGTTGCATGCAACTTGGCTGACCTTGAAAAGCTTAAAAGGGGAAAGAAGCCACGCCAACCACTTGCACAACATTGCGTGATTGTGGCCACGTAGGAGACGAGGGTAATTTAATTTTAATTTCACAGAAGGCATTTGAGGATTTCCTCCCACCGTTTCTATGCACGTTCCCGCCTGGCATACATGGCTGCTTGGAGGAGCCATAATGCTTAAGGGCGATTCTAGTTAGGGAACCAACATTAAATCCAACCCCCCTTTCTCCATTGCATGGCGTCGTTTCAAGCCTTTCCCTTCCTTTGCTGCTCCTCCCTTCCTTACCCGGGTAGCCAGAGCTTCCGAGAGCCACGGAGCTGCCGGACCAGGCGCCCCGCTTTCTCCACCACGGGGGACGCCATCTTTCTTCAGGACCTCGTCGAGGGCTGTCCAAAGGACCGCCTGGAAGGGGAGGAGCGCCGTTGCTGTGGAAACGGCCTTCTGGGGACTTTCCCCGCCCTCCCCCCCCCCCATTCCATGAGCCCATCAACTGAGGCGGGCGATTCCTTCTTCGCTTTTTAAATTTTATTTTATTTTATTTCATCAAGCATGTATTAGATAACATATATAAGTATAGACATGATTATGAATACATGAAATGAATACAAATACAAGGGAATATTAGGACAGGGACGGTAGGCAGGCTGGTGGGCTTATGCAGGCCCCTTTCAGTAACAGACCTCTTAGGAATGGGGTGAGGTCGACAGTAGACAGTCTAAGGTTAAAGTTTTAGGGGTTTGGGGAAGAAACCACAGTCAGGTAGTGCATTCCAGGCGTTGACCACTCTGTTGCTGAAGTCGTATTTTCTGCAATCGAGTTTGGAGCGGTTCACCTTAAGTTTGCATCTATTGTGTGCTCGTGTATTGTTGTGGTTGAAGTTGAAATAGTCATTGACAGGAAGCACGTGGTAGCGGATAATTTTGTGTACTACCCTTAGGTCAGACCAAAAGTAGTTCTAAGTTGTCTAAGCCCAAAATTTAAAGCCTGGTGGCATTAGGTATTCTTTGCCGGCAGCGGAGAGGAGGACTCTTCTCAGGAAATATCTTTGGACTCGCTCAATTGTATTAATGTCTGATAGGCAGTGCGGGTTCCAGACAGATGAGCTGTATTCGAGAATTGGTTTAGCAAATGTTTTGTATGCTCTGGTTAACACTGCAATATTACCAGAGAAGAAGCTACACAAGATTAGGTTAACAACTCTTAATGCCTTTTTGGCAATGTTATTACAGTGGGCTCTGGAATTTAGATTATTAGATATGAGTACTACAAGTTCCTTAACATGCTTAAGCAAGAGGGCTATCTCTGCTGAGACATCCGGATATGCTATCGTTCCCTTCTTGGTGTATCTGTAAAAAAGTGCAACAACAAGTTTTACTTGCTTGTGTAATCGTCTCAATTTCTTGCTGAGGTAGTGAGTGGACATCCTTCCAATCCTGGCCAAGTGCTCCTCGCTTTTTCAAGTGGTAGAAACAACGTGCTGGTTGGCACAATAAGTCAAGGATGAGACATTAAAAAATGGGGCTAATAGTAGCTGCGTCCAAAAAATACTCATCACCAAAAGAAGCGGTTCTAAGGAAAACGCAACTGAGCAAGTCGGCTGGGATAGAACTTGGAACTACAGCTCCCAAAATGCCACTGGCGGGAGTTGTCTCCCTCACTTCTTTGGAAGATGCAGTACTGTGGGAGGCTGGGCCACACTAGGAATAGCAATAGTAATAGCAGTTAGACTTATATACCGCTTCATAGGGCTTTCAGCCCTCTCTAAGCAGTTTAC